TGACCCGCTCCTCCCTCTGCAGGCGGACGCCGCGGGCATGGACTATTCGTACGACGAGGACTTGGACGAACTGTGCCCCGTGTGCGGGGACAAGGTGTCGGGCTACCACTACGGGCTGCTCACGTGCGAGAGCTGCAAGGTGAACGGCGGGCGGGCGGCAGGGGTGAGGGGGGACCCCCGGGGGCCCTGCTGGGACCCCCGAGTGCACCGGGGCCTCCCGCGCTGACTCCCCTCTCCGCAGGGCTTCTTCAAGCGCACGGTGCAGAACAACAAGCACTACACGTGCACCGAGAGCCAGAGCTGCAAGATCGACAAGACACAGCGCAAGCGCTGTCCCTTCTGCCGCTTCCAGAAGTGCCTGACGGTGGGGATGCGCCTGGAAGGTGCGCGCCCGCGAGCCTCTACCCCTGACCTCTGAGGGCCCAAGGGGGTAGGGGGTGGCGCTGGGAGACCGGCTAAAGGGAGGGCACCACTGGCCTTCCTGAAGTTTCTGGGACCGGGTGATTGGCCCCCGCGTGGATTAGGGCCCAATCTCTGCAGCGCAGCAGGGAACTGGCACTGGTCGGGCCTAGGCCCTGGGAGGGGGTGCGTGCAGGACCCACCTGTGCTGGGCTGAGAAGTATCTGAAAGTGAAGCTCAAGGAGATAACTGTTTCCTCAGCCCCTGAGGGGGATCCCAGCACAGGGCAGAGCCTGGGCAGAGCTCCTCCCCTGCGTGGAGAGTCCCCCCGTCCCCCCCTCACTGATACCCACCACCAGCCAGAGCCCAGGCTTGCAATGCCTTCATTGGTGTTCAAGTCCCAGTGCCTCCTCTTACAGGCTGGGTGACATTGGACAAGTTCCTTAACCTCTTTAAGGAGCAGATTCTCCATCTGAAAAAAAATGGCTTTTATAGTAGTGCCTTCCTTCCTGCGTCAGTGTGAGGACTTAGTGTACGAAAAGCCTAAGGCACCTGGTACATAGTCACTGCTCAACGGGTTAGCTGTTGTTAGCATTATTATGGTGGTTATTATACTTTCTGTTATCTTTCCACCGGGACTGTCCAGCCCTACCCATCCAGCCCACCCATCTGTTTGTCCATCCATGCATCAGAAGGGTTCACTCATTCATTCACTCCATGGGTGAGATGCCTTTCCATCATTCCTTAGCCAGTCTCTGAGAGGGCTTGGGAGTGGGGAACAATTGCCCCCAGAGGACCCTGGCCCATCTTTGCCTCACCCCCACCCCCCACCTCTCAGTCCAAAAAGGAGGAAAGATGTTTTAGCAGGAAAAAGTGGAGCTCTTTAAGGGTGGACAGTTGTTGGCTTCCACCCCGCTGGCCCCAGCCGGGCTGTGCACTGAGCAGGCAGTTGTTGGCTGAAGTTTTCGGACAACACAGAAGTGGGTCTGAGAGCTGCAGACCACATGTCCTGCCACCTAGAGAAGGGACTCCTGGATGGAAGGGGAACACTCTGTCCTGTCTCCCCTGAGCCCACATCCCTAGCTCCAGGTCCTGAGGGGCCAGAAGAGATGGTTTCTGTAGGCAGCAGAAACCCCTGGTGCAGCCTGAGGGAGTGGAGCGGCGCTACTCCCCCTCAATGGCAAGAAGATTGGCTGTGGTGGCTTCTGAGCCACCATTCTGGCCGAGTGCCACCCTCTCTCTCCTGCTCGCTCCCTTCTCCCAGAGCCCAGAGTGGGGTCCTGTCTGAGCAGGGGCTGGGGCCACACTCCCGCTGCAGAGATGCACCTGTTGGGTCCAGCTAGTGACACATTCTTGGACAGGCGGAGGAACATCTGGTCAGCAAGAGAGGCCCCTCCCCCAGCACAGAGCCTCAAGCAGCCCTAAACTCAGCTTCAGATTTGAAGCCAATGAGGGAAGCTCGAATTGTTTTGCAACACAGGTTCAACAGAGTCAGGCTGTCAGTCAGTAAGCAATGGGACACTGAGGACTCAGCTGTGAACAAGGCTGACCAGGGCCCCCTCCCTCTCACCATCTCCTTGCTGAACCCTGTGCTAGGCACCCGAACCCAGAGCTGAACCGCAGCAGCTCTCAGCCCGGGGCACATGGCATGATACATTCAGCATGATCAGAGTGGGCAAGGGGCAGGATGTCTGGGACAAGGGCAGTAGAGTCTGCCTGGATGAATCCAGGAACGCTTCCTAGAGGTGGTAACATTGAGGCTGGGTGTTTAGCAAGCACAAAAGAAAGAAAAGCATTTGAGACAGGAATATCAAAGGCAGGGCAGAGGAGAAAGAATTGTCAAGCAGAGGAGCAGAGAGGTGAGCGAGGCGGAGTAGAAAGAACACAGGACCTTACGAAGGGTAACCTAGAAAGCTGAGCAGAGCCTTGAACGCCAGGCTTAAGAGGTTGACTTTGCCTATGGGCACTGGGAGCCACAAAAGGCTATTAAGCAGGGGAGTGACCCAGTCAGATCTGTTCAGGAAGGATCTGTGGTAGGGTGTACAGAAGGTGGCTTGGAGCGGGTAAGCCTGACCTTCTGCCCTTGCCCACAGCTGTGCGTGCTGACCGCATGCGAGGTGGCCGGAACAAGTTTGGGCCCATGTACAAGCGGGACCGAGCCCTGAAGCAGCAGAAGAAGGCACAGATTCGGGCCAATGGCTTCAAGCTGGAGACAGGCCCCCCAATGGGGGTGCCCCCGCCGCCCCCTCCCCCACCGGACTACATGCTGTCCCCTAGCCTGCACGCACCTGAGCCCAAGGGTCTGGCCTCTGGTCCCCCTGCTGGGCCACTGGGCGATTTTGGAAGTCCAGCACTGCCCATGGCCGTGCCCAGCACCCACGGGCCACTAGCCGGTTACCTCTACCCTGCCTTTCCTGGCCGTGCCATCAAGTCCGAGTACCCAGAGCCCTATGCCAGCCCCCCGCAGCCCGGGCTGCCCTACGGCTATGCAGAGCCCTTCTCCGGAGGGCCTGGAGTTCCTGAGCTCATCCTGCAGCTGCTGCAGCTGGAGCCGGACGAGGACCAGGTGCGGGCACGCATCGTGGGCTGCCTGCAGGACCCGGCCAAAGGCCGCCCCGACCAGCCCGCGCCCTTTGGCCTCCTGTGCAGAATGGCCGACCAGACCTTCATCTCCATCGTGGACTGGGCACGCAGGTGCATGGTCTTCAAGGAGCTGGAGGTGAGTCTCTCCTCCCACCTGGCTGGCCCCTCTTCTCGGCTACCCAAGCCTCAGCCTCAGTCACCCCTTGGGTGGGGTCATCCTGCACACTGGCTTCAGGCAGTGTCTGGGAGCAGGGAGGCCACAATGCGACATTAAGGAGCGTGTCTGGTCCCTCACAGCCTCCCCTTCTCCTCCATTTCTTGAGTCTCTCTCTCTCTCTCTCTCTCTCTCTCTCCCACAGCCTCTGCTTATTTGATCTTTGTCTGTCTCTGTCTCTGTCTCTGTTTCTGTCACCTCTCTCTCTCTGGCGAACTGTGTCTCTGCTTCTCTGTGTTTCTCCAGCCCCTTCAGTCTCTGGCTGTTTCTCCCCAGTTTGGGTCTCTGTAGACATTTCTCTCTTTCTCTGAGACCCTGGGCTTCCTTGAAAGACTAGCTAAGTCCTTAGAAGACTGTCTTGTCCCCCAAAGCCCCAGCCCAGTGTTGGGAAAGGAGTCCAGCTCATCCTGTCCTGCCATCAAGGGAGGCCACTGCCAATCCCCACCAGCCTCGAATGTCATAGATAGGGGTCTTAGTGTTTCAGAGCTTGGGATGTCTGTGGACCCTTCTCCTTCCCAGCCAAGGTGAAAGGTCTGACTGCCCCTGCATCTCCTGTGTGTCATGGTTGGTCCCGTGTATGTGTGTTTGAGGGGGAGGGGCTAGGTGGGTGGGTAGGTGGGGGCCTGCCACCGATCTTCTCAGGTGAAGCAACCTTCTTTACCACAGGGCCTTCTTTCCTCCTGGGTTGAGGTACCTGAGACTAAAGTAAGCAGGAAAGCAGCAGGAGAAACTGAGGCTAGACATAGGGAAGAACTTCCCAGTCATCCGTCAAGTGGTTTGAAGGGCTTGAGGCCTGGGAGCTACCCCTCTAGTGCCCTGGCTTTCTATGAGGCCTTCCCAGAGGCACCTCCACCTGGCCAAGGCCCATCCCTCCCTGGCCAGGGTATGGGCACTCTTTATCGCAAGCCTATCGGTGTTTGCCTTTCCCAGGACAGCCCCCCTGGCTGTGTTGGGGCTGGATGCAAACAGCAGGGCCTGTTGCCCTCCCTGCTGGGGCCACTGCAGCCTTGAGCAGCATTGTCAGTGCTGACGCCACTCAGGCCTGAGCTTCCTCCAGGAGCATGTGGCCGGATGGGCTGGGGGCAATGCTTGGCCTGGCTGGCATAGAGGGGGTATAAGGTGGGGTGTGGTCACTCTGAGCCCCAGGGGTTTCATGGGGCTGGGGGTTTGGGTTCTTTAGGGAGTCAAGAATTGGTGGCAATGGCTCCTGCTTGTACTGTGGAGGGCCTTTCACGGCCGAGGCCTAGGGATGTGCCATGAGTCATGGTGTGGGCCTCTCACCCCAGCACCCTCTCACCTTATGGAGGGGGCACAAGGCAGGGCCTTGAACATGCCCCCCGCCTTCTATTCATGGCTGGAGGCCCTGGTGGGGATGAGGATCTCAAGACCCTTGGGTTGGTTGCCAGCTTACCTCCAGAATTCCCATGAACCCACTGTGCAGAGGGGAGGAGGAGCAGAGCATTTGCAGCCTTCCAGAACCCTGGATCTAGGGGCAGGGCACTTCCTCTGGCTGCCTTCCTAGTCTCCCGGGGATTTTCACGCAGGATGGGAAGGGCTTTTGTCCCAGTTTTACTGAGTGTTTTTTCCTGCTTCTGGCTTCTCTGTGGTCCAAACCTTCCTGCTTCCCCTTCCCAGAGTCTCTGAATCAAGCCCAGGAATATGAACCATGGTCAGTATGCTCTGTAAAGGGGCCTTGCAGATAAGTACCAGCCCAGCCTTTAGAGCATCTCTTATCAGCCATGTGGAAGTTCTTTCTCACTGGCCCAGTGGGCCTTGGGCTGGTTGTTGGTTTGCAAAGCCCAGAGGTGAGGAGGCATAAAAGTGAGAAGGTCCTGAGTGACCCTGCTCTCCCTTTTGGCTGACCATCCAACTCCCCACCTCCAGGCAGGACACATTTTAGCAGACAGAAGAGGGGGCTCTCTGGCTCTGAGGGTTGGGCAGCCTTGGGCTGGACACGGGGGACATTGAAATGAATTGGAACCAGGAAGCTGCCAGGCTAGAGGAAAAGACAAACGTATACACAGGTAATGCCAATGCAGGGTGCCCAGGGCTTTGAGAGCAATGGAAAGGAGCAGAAGGAGCCCAGAGGGAAAGCAAACAGCTGTATGCAAGGAAGTCAGGGAGAGTTTCTTTGATCTGTGACTTTCCAGAGTAGTTAGAGAAGGTTAAGAGTGTTGCAGGCAGTGGGATCAGCATAGGCTAAGGTCCTGAAATGTGAACAGGCATCATGTGCTCAGGGAGTTCCAGGTGGTCCTATGCAGCAGGGCTGGAGAGGTGGGCAGGGTCAGAAGCAGAGCTTGGACCAGGAGTAGGTCCTTTGACGGTCTTTAATGGACACCTGCCAGGGCTGGCTGGGGCCCCACATACTGGGCCAGGGAGGGGCTCTCATCACACAGAGCCTGAGCTCTCCTCAGGGGCCCACTCAGCCCTCTATGATGCTGAGGACACCCTGTTGTTCAGGGGAAGGCCTGAGGTCTCAGCTGACCTGTCAGGGACGCTGGCAGCCTAGATGGCTCTGACTGGGATGCCCTCTTGAGGTTTTCCTCCTCTGTCCTCTTTCCCAGCTTGTATGGCTGTCCTTCTGTCTCTGTTTTTCCATCTCACACAGTCATAGCATATTAGACCTGACAGGGGCACAGAAGTTAATACCAAAGACCAGAATCAGAGAGGCCTGTGTTCAAGTTCCAGTTGTGCCGCTCACAGGCTGCGTCACTTTGGGCATTTTACTCCTCCGGGCCTCAGCTTCTTCATCTATAAAAGAGAGGAGTTTAAATAATAACCACCTCATAGGGTTGTTGTAAGGGTTTAGTGAGCTAGGACAGGTAAAAAATTCAGCACGGGGCCCGGCACACAGGAAGTTCAGGAACTAGGGACAGCAGTGACCTTCCTCGCTGTTCCTCTCTGCTGCTACACCCTTTAACCTGTTCTTGCAGGTTGTGTACAGGCCTCTCCGGGAAGAGTGTGGGGAAAGATACATTGTATCCATGCTCCTCTGAGCATGGGACAAGATGCTCAGTTCTGGGACAAGATGGGGGCCCACTTTGCCCTGAGTTTATCAAGCAACTTCTTACCTATGAGGAAGCAGAAACTCGACTTTACCTGCTGCTCAGTGGGGAGCAGCGTCCAGAGCCCAGGCAGTCAGCCTCTCCGGACATTTACCATGAAGGACAGGCTGGGAGGATGTGAGATAGGAATTGGGGAGGGGAGGTAGGGGGCAAGAGTGCCTAATGACCCATCTTGACACCAGTTCACCCTCAATGTGCAGCTCTGAGGCCCTGATTGGCAACAGATTGAACTGCCCAGATATATGGTTTCATTTAAGTGACAGTAATACTGTCACTCCTGGGCTGACAAATGATGGCCCACTGACCACTCGGCCGGGAGAGTGCTGTGGCCAGCCCGTGGTGTGTCAGCCACCAGAGAATTACAGAGCCCGCTGGCCTTCGGCCGCCAGACTGATCAGACCCCAGGGGGCTCCTGAGGGGGGCCTGCTGGGAGGGAGGTTAGCTCGTCACCCATAAATACCCCGTCTCCGAGGCAGGCTGCAAAGTGTCAAGGTTCCAGGAAGATTTGTGGTCGTCCGGCAGGAGGCGGGGGCAGCTGGTGGGCCAAGCAAACAGGCCAGGCTGGTGAGGGACCTCAGGACTGGGGCTGCAAATGTCCTTGTTCCCAAGGTGGCAGGGAGGCCGAGGGTAGAGGAGGATGAATCTTTAGCTTCGGGAGAAACCGTTGGAAGGTGAAAACCACACTCGTTGGCTGAGTGAGCCTCTTAGCCACCTGCTTTCTCATGGAGAGAGGCTGGCAGCTATGGCCCTCTGGTTTTCTTTTAAATAAAAAGAGGTGTGTGTGTGCGCGTGTGCACTCATCTGTGTGGGGAGTGTTTTGGAGTCTGGTGTCTTTATGTGTGCATCTGTCCATCCAGCGGAAGAAGTGAATACAAAGTCTAGCAGGAAAGTTTGCCTGGCCAGAGGGTAGGTGGGAGCCCGGGCTGGGGCAGCATGCCTGGGACGGCCAAAAATGGGTCTGCAGAACCCTTTGCAACTGATAACGTGTGTTCATACGTTTTCTCTAACTGAAGGAGGAAGGAATAATGTTTTGCATTTCGCAGAACAGGAAATTAGGGCAGAGGAGGACACAGGGCTGGATTGGGACTTGAATGCAGGGCACAGGGTGCCAAAGCTTTAGCCACCAAATTGCATCTCTCTGCCACCCCTATCAGCCCCACTGGCAGGGCTGCCCCCACTCCCAGGGTCTAGGGTCTGGGTACAGAGTCTGCTCCCAGGGCTGGGCCAGCCAGGTCATTGTGACCCCTTCGGCTTTCTGCCCGAAGCTCAGCCTGCTTATCTCCTAATTTTCCCCCATTATCTCTTCTCTTCTACCTCCCCACCCCCCTGTTCCTTCAATCTGGGCACAAGGGTGTCTGCTCCTGCGAGCCCGCGATAGGTGGGGGGCAGAGCCCAGCCCTGTACATCCTCCTCCCTCCCCCTCTGCCTCCATCTGGGTCACCCAAGGTGAGCCTGAGCTTTCTTTCTGCCAGTGTGACTGGGAGCCACCCACCTGGGCTGCAGGCAGTTCCCAGGGCCCCTAGAAGATGGGCCCTGCAGGGAGCATCTGGGCAGAGCCTCCATTTCCTTATCTATGATATGGGCAGAGTGTCAGCAGGGCAGGGTGAGACGTCCTTAGCTGTGCTGGGCACCGTGCCTGGCAGTAGGTGCCCACGGAGCCTTGCCTCCCTCCTTGGAAACTGTGGTGGGGAGGCGCCTGCCCCTGCCCTGGTGGCTCCACGGGGGCTGGCCACTTCCTGGGGAGAGAGAGATAAGACTTTGTGGCTTGTGCCCTGCCCAGCTCTCGGCCTCTCCCAGACCCTCCCGTCCAGGCTAGTCAGTGCTGAGCCTGGGGTCCCTGCGGCTGGGTTTCTGTCCTGACAGTCATGGGCTCCAGGAAGAATGTTCTGCCAGGCGGAGGATGGAGAGGTGTGGGCTCCTGACCCCGAGATGAGGTGGGGAAAAAGGACCGAGGCTCAGAGGAAGGGGGACGTGCCTCAGAGTGGGACAGACGCAGACTTTCCCTCTTACTGTCCTGCAGTGTGGGCAGTAAGGGAGGGGCAGGCCAGGCCTGGAGGGGCCCGTCTGCGTCTGTGTTCACTTTCCTTTTTCTCTCCCTCTATCTGCCTGAGGACAGAGACCACAGGGATGCCCCCAGCAGAGGAGGGAGGGGCTCTGACTCTCAAAAACAGAGCTGTGGTTAGTCCTGGGCCCGTTCCCCTCAGGCTGGGGGCTGCCTCCACGCTTCTGGTCTCTGGGTCGGAGGTGATTTCTCTGGGCTCTCTGTGCACGTCTTGGGGAGCACATATTTGTTCACCCACCACTCGCTCAGCCCCTTCTGGGGGCTCAGAGATGAGGTGGACACCGGTCTTTCCTTTGCAGATCACACAGGTACCGGGAAGACAGGGGCATGATTTGGTGCTGTCAGAGGTGGCAGATTCCATGTCCAGAGGGTGGTGAGGGCACCGAGGAAGGCAGAGGGATCAGGGAGGGCTTCATGCAGGAGGGAATGAGACTGTGAACTCCTGGATGGCAAGGGGGGCAGGGGAGGTCTTCCACACCTAGCCGTAAGAGCATGGATCTGGACTCAGACGGAGCTGTGTGACCTTGGGCAAGTTGCCTGACCTCTCTGTGCTCAGTTTCTTCCCTCCATAATGTGAGTAACCACTGTACCAACCTCATAGGGTTGTGGGGCTGCAGTGCAATGACTGTCACCTGTCATGGTTTGCATTCACTGCAGGGCATGGCCCAGGAAGTTGCCTGGGAAGTATCTGTTGGGTAGTTGGTGGCTGGCTGATGAGCCACAGATGCTGAGACGGACTGGAGTCTGTGTCATGTCTTTCTAGAATGACCTGCAGTGCCCAGTGCAGTTCTGAACACCCAGAAGGGCTCAGTTTGTCACTGTGAGATTGTGGGCTAGGAATGCCCACCATGGCCCTGGCTTGGTCTGCCTTTGTGTGATACTGGGAGAGTCCCTCGCCCTCTCTGGGTGGCATCTAAATCTGAAGACAGGGCTTTGGGCCAGGGGATCCCTGGCTCTGGCTTTCCACAGTTGAGTCCCATTTGCCATGGTCAAAAGCATCCCCCCTTACCATGCCACAGTGATCCCCCAGGTCGAAGGACACCCTGGCCCCTGACTGTAGCCTGGGTATTCAGAATCTGCCCCTTGCGCCTGCTCTGTTCATGCTTCAGGCCTCAGGCCATTGTGGTCTGCCCGCTCCTTCCCTGGGCCTGACTACAGGCCGGCAGGCCCTCCTGTCTTCTCATGAGCCTGAATGCAGTGCTGGAGGCCCAGGGGAGCCCTCTCATTCCTCCCCAGGGCTCCTTTTTGAGCAGCTGAGGCTGCCCGAGGTGTGACCACAGGCCAGATGGGCACGATGTTAAAATTAATCATAATCTGGCCTTGCACTTGAAGGAGAACTCACAGAGCCCTTCGTGGACACCATTCACTGACATTTACTGAGTGCTTAATGGCTGTGAGCCCATCTTCTAAGCACAGTACTTTGCCCACTTCACAGATGAGAAAACTGAGGCACGGAAAAGGTATGGAACTTGCATAAGGTCATGCAGCTTGTAAGAGGCAGAGCTCACGTGCCCCTGTTGGACCCTCTCTTGCCAGACCCCTGCCATGCTTAGATGAAGAAGAACGATGGGCGGACGGGCACAGAGGGGTTAAGTGGCTTGCCCGGGTCCCACACACAGTGGAGTCTCTGAACTGAGAGTTGGGAGGAGGAGGGGTGAGAGGAAGGTCCCCAGCTGGGCCCCACGTGCCTCTTCCTTCCAGGTGGCTGACCAGATGACCCTGCTGCAGAACTGCTGGAGCGAGCTGCTGGTGTTTGATCACATCTACCGCCAGATCCAACATGGCAAGGAGGGCAGCATCCTGCTGGTCACTGGGCAGGAGGTGACCGACTCTATTGTGTCCTGCCCCCACCACTGTCCCATGATCTTCCAGAATTCTGGGCCCAGAAGGGGTCCCAGGCCTCTCCAGGGCTGGCCGTGGTCACCCTGAACATCAGCCCTTCCTCCAAGTTTATGGGACACCCGCTGGCCCTACCTCTCTGTGACCAGCCCTGGCCATGGCCTTGAGAGGAGTCAGCCCCTGGGAGCCCTGCTCTGGGTGTGTGGGGACGTTTGGGGGGCTCTTGGAGGAGGAGACCTGGCCCTGGGTCTTGAAAGAATAAATTGGAGTTGTTCAGATAGTGAAAGATGGTGGAGGGACAGTCCCCACTCACCACAGGTGGGGGGATAGCGGTGGCAAAGGCTCAGGGAGGGGCGTGTGGGGGTTGGGATGAGGTGAGAGATGAGGCTGGAAGGGTTGCTAGGGGCTGGGTTAGTGGGCAAGACCTCGCAGGCCCTGAATTCTGAACAGGTGAATGAGTGAATGAATAAGCAGAGGGCCCCAAAGAGCTCACGGTCAGAATTGGGGCGCCCCTTAGAAAAGGGAATTAGGAATGACAGGGATGGAAGCCAGGGAATAGGGACTTCTGGAAGGGAACAGGGGAACCACGGGTGAGGTTTAAGTTCAGGAGGGACGTGGCCAGGTATCTACAGGAAGCATGTGGAGGGGGTGGGGACGCATTCCAGGAGGAGGACCCCCAGTGGGATGAGGAATGGAGGAAAGAGATGCGAGGAGGGAGAAGGGAAGGGAGGCCAGTGCCCAGGGTCTGGCCTGGTGGTGGGAGTATCATGCCTGGGTGGGGACATAAGAGGCACCATGGGCTCTGCACGTCCTGAGGGTGGGGTCAGAGGCTGAGGCTCTGTGTCCCACCCTGACCCCAGACCTCTGTCCTTATCCTCAGTTCTCATCCTGGTGTCTCAAGCCATCGGGGGCAGGGGACAGGGAATGCTGGTCTCTAAAGGGTGACTTTGGGGCTACCTGTGAGCGCAAATGCAGGGAATCTGAGGTGTGAGTGTCAACACTCAGGCCGAAGTCTCTGTGGCCAGGGGCATGTCCTCTGTGTGCGTACACACGCCTGTATTGTACTGTACAGATGTCTGCACACACGTAGGTGTGCAAGTGTGGCTATCTGCCTGTCACCACATAAATGTGAGCCGTCCAAGGGCGCGTGTGTGCACCTGTGTGTGAGCCTCACTGCAGGAGGGGATGAGCAGCCCTGTATGTTCCTGCACGTGTGGAAATGTGAGCTGAGCTGTGGCCGGCGTCTGCGTGTGAGCGGGTGGGGCACTGGGGAGACATGTGGATGTGTCCCTACCTCCCTGCCCCTGCCCCACACCCAGGACGACGTAGTACTCACAGCGGGCGGCTGCACAAAAGCCGTTTGTGCCACTGGGCCTGGCGGCGGCTCTTTGTGCGTGAAGGACCCTTCAGTTCTCTCACTGCACCCACCCGCCTGGTGTGCGCTCTGCTGCCGTGTCGAGGCGGACAGGCAGGCTGTGGGTGCCGTCAGCTCTGGCCTGGCAGGCCGAGGGGAGCCGGGAAGGTTGGGCCCCAAATAGTGGTGGGCCTGGGAGGGTTCCAGGGCCCTGAGGAGCTGCTGCTATCCCATCCTGGCTCAGCTCCAAGGCTGGGTGCACCTGACCCCCAGCCCATCTGACCCCCTCTATAACTGGCACCTCCCATCCATGCCCTCTTCCCCATTGTCCCTGATCAGAGCCTCCTGCCCGTGCCCTTTGGCCTGAGCCCCTCCCCTGCCACCCTGACCCGTGCCCTCTGACCCGCCCAGGTGGAGCTGACCACGGTGGCTGCCCAGGCGGGCTCCCTGCTGCACGGCCTGGTGCTGCGGGCGCAGGAGCTGGTGCTGCAGCTCCACGCGCTGCAGCTGGACCGCCAGGAGTTTGTCTGCCTCAAGTTCCTCATCCTCTTCAGCCTTGGTGAGTGCAGCTTGAGGGGGGTCTCGGCCTGGGCCAGCAGCAAGGGGAGCCGAGAGGCCAAGATAGGGCCTCAGTGGGGGCACCGGCCCCTCCCTCAGTGACTAAACACGTGAGAGCACCTGGGCCTAGCTCTTAAAATGCAGGCTGTTTCCCCTCTGGACCTCAGTTTCTCTGTTTGGAAGTGCAGAGGGCCAAGGTAATGTCTAAGACTTGCCCTTCATGGGACGAGGACCTCTTCTGAGAATCTGGTAAATTCCTGGCTCGCCTCCCTAGGAAAGTGCCCACGCCACCTGCAGAAAATGCCACGTGAGTTTAGGACTTCCTGTTCCCCGGCTCCCATCCTGGGGTCCCTGTTTTTCCTAGTTCTCTGATCTCGGGGGGCCCATATTCTGACTCTGAGCTTTTTGGGCCCCAGACCCTTTTGCCTGTTCATTAATTTGTTTATTCATTCATTTTACAAACATTTGCTGAGCATCTGCACTGTGTAAGACACAGGAGATATAGCAGTGAACAAAAACCCCTGCCCTCATGGAGGTGACCTTCTCTGGGGGACAGAGACAATAGCAGAATATAGTTAATAAAATGTATAGATTAGTGAAGTGATTAGTAAAATGTATAGCCAGGAAGACTGTAGTAAGTGCTAAGGAGGAAGAGAAAGCAGAGAAGGGGCAGAGGGGCCAGCCCAGCCCTTTCCCCAGGGGTCTGACTCGCCCTCCCACTTCCCTCCTGAGCCCAGCCCAGCCTGTGCCACTGCAGTCTCAACTCTGCCCCTCCCCAGCTGATGACGTGCTCATCTCCTGGGCTCCAACCCTCCCTTCCAGCACCTCTAGGGAAGGATTCCTCCACCCAACAAACGCCTGCTCATCCTCCAAGGCCCTGCTCAGCTGTCCCTCTTCCAGGAAGCCTTCCAAGCAGAGCCCCTGCTCCCCACCCTGGGTGCCCTGTGCCGCACCCATCTCTGTCCCAGCCCTAACCTCTCCCAGACGGGGAGCTACTGGAATGAAGGAGCACCTCTGTGTGCACAGCATCGGTGGGCACAGGGGGAGCACTGGCCATGGCGTGTCAGGAAGGAAGACCTGGATTCTAAACTTGGTCTCTCTCTCTGGCTTTGTCCCCTTGAGGAAGTCACCCCTCTCTCTGGGCCTCCATTTCCCCATCTGTAAAATGACCATCATAATAATCCTTCACTGGCTACAAGGGTTTAATGAGAGAATTCCTCAAAGTGCTCAGTGCTTGACCTGACCCCACAGAAGTGTGCATCAGTATCGTTTTTTATCATAATCTTCATTATTAAGTTCATGAGCAAATGAACGAGTTAATGAAGTGAATGAGTGAAGCGGGTCACAGTCTCCATCTTTATCACATGCTGTGTGTCTGGCACAGCACCTTATCTTTGGGCACAGGGACATGGATCTGGCTGAGGTGGGTGCAGGAAGCCAGAAATCTAGTGAGGTTGGGGCTGCCAGGTGAGGCAGAGGCGGTGGCTCGGGCACCGGGGTCTCCCTGAGCTGATGATGCGAGAGCAGCAAGAGAGGCTGGCAGGCTCTGCGTTGAGAGGAGCCCAGGCAGTCCAGGGACGAGGGCTGGGCTGGAGAGAAGAAACCCACGTCACCTGGGATGTCAGGGAAGCCTTCCTGGAGTGGGGCCTTTAGCTGGGCCTTGCTGTATGAGTAGGAGTGTTCTGGGGGGAACAAAACAAGCAGCATTAAAGGCATTCCAGACTAAGGAAGCCCCTTGTGTAAAGTGATGAGGATTCCTGAAAGTTCGGTGTGGCTGTAGGGGGCGGGAGGGGATGGAGAGGAAGCTGGCCAGGTGTGCAGGGGCTGAGCTGTGCAAGGCCTTGAGTGCCAGGCCAAGTACCTTGAACCTTCCCTAGGGAAGATTTTAAGCAGGGAGTAACATGATCACATTTGTATTTTATCAAGGCCCTTCCAACCGCAGCATGGGAAAAGGGTGGCAGGCGGGCAGCCCCGAGCCCTGGGAGAGGACAGACCTGGGGCTGGGGTGAAGAGGACAACCCTAGCACAGACCTGGGGCTGGGGCGAAGAGGACAACCCTAGTGTTTGGAACGGAGGGCTCCTCCCATGATCCCACCCAGATCACCAGGGCTGGGGCCTCCAGGGTAACTGGGACCCGGAGCAGGACTGCCACTTGCCCGTAGACCTCCAGCTGGCATGCTGGGCGTCGCTCTCGGGGGCAGCCTGAACTCGGGTGATGACTGTACCCCCACCCTGCCCCCCGCCCCCCGGGGCCTCCTTCTCGCCTGCCTCCGCATAAGGGTGCCATTTGGCGTCTAAATAGCTGTCTCGGGAGGGCGCGGAGGCAGGTAAGGAGGTTTAATTAAAATTAGTGCCTCTCTCCTGGCAATCACGGTGTTTATGAAGATGGGCCTGGCTGGCATTGTTCCGCCGAGGACTTAATCGGAGCTTAATGGATTGACCTAACATTCGATTTCCTGACTTCCATTGAGGCGGCAGCAGCAGCATTCCCTTAAGCGTTTGCAATTTACCCACTGCTCTGCGCCAACAAAAGGCGGCCTGAATAGCAGCCCCACTCGAGGGGCCATTGTGCGCGGGGGCGCCTGCCTGAGTCACCGCTATTGGGACAACATTCTTTATGCCTCGCTGGAATGAAAGGATTATTCAAATATTCAATTAAACCGTGAAAAGGGGGCTTTTCTGAGAACCTGGGGGCCCCCAGCTCCGTGGAACTAGCGGGCTGCTCTCCGAGGCGGGGGTGGCATCTCGCAGCCCCCTCCCACCTCCCAGCTCCAGGATTGCTGGGAGCTGAGCAGGCTTGGGCGGCGCTGGCCCATCCACACCCTGCAGGTGCTCAGGGCCAAGAGCTGGGCACACAGATTAGGTTCAGTTCTTGGCCAGCTGGTGAGGCAGAGATGAACTTGTCTCCATTTTGCAGATGACTGGAAACTGAGGCTCAGAGAGGGGAAAGTGACTTGCCCAAGATCACCCGGCTGGTTGTAGAGTTGTGATCTGAACCCTGACACATTAAGGGGGTGTCTCCTGGTTTGTCTGACCCCTGTTCTCGTGTCTGATGGAAGAAGGGCATGGGGTCCAGAGTAGCCTCTCTGGGGTAAATCCGGACCCCAGGGGCAGGGGCCCATGGGCTAGACTCCTGGATTGAATGGAACGTAAAGTTATGTCTAATCCTCCATGAACCAGTGTCCAAACTTGACCCAGCTCCCTGGCCAGTGCTACCCAGCCCTGCTTGCCCACGATGGGAGGCTTGGACTTCGGAGTCAGAGAGACCTGGGTTTGAATCCAGATTCTGGTATCTTTTGTGTGCCTCAGGCATGCCCTGACTCCCTACACCTAGGGGATGCCCTCCCCTCCCTGTCTGGATGTCTGTGGGGATTCACTGAGCTGGGTGCAAGGTGCCTGGCAGGTGCCCAGGAAACTGGGTGCAGACTCTTGGACTGTAGACACTGGGGTTCAAGCGGTTGTTGTGTTTCCCTCCCCCAGCCCTGTGGCTGACCTCATGGGGGCAGTGGGGGTCTCCAGCCTGCTGAGAGCTGAGAGACCATAGAACTGCTGGTGGGTGTGGGGGTTGGCCCTGAAACCTGTCCTTGTTCGGCACCCCCATCCCCCGCACTCCACCCCGTCGTCCCTGGCGCGGTGCTGCTGAGAACAGTAAATCCTGGTAAAGCCGAGGCCCTGATGCTCTCTAGACCCCTCCTACCCCTGCCCCTACTGCAGCGTCCTAGCTGGTCCTCCCCCATTCCAGCTGTTTCCTTTAGGTCCCTTTACTGCTGTGTGACCTTGAGCTGGTCCCTAGCCTTCTCTGGATCCCCAGCCTCATATTGCATATTGCCAGAAGACAGTGTCAGGAGAATTTGCCCAACCCTGGGGATGGTGGAAGGTAAGGTCAGACGGTACAGGATTGGGTTGGAAACAGGTTGGGATAGGGATAGGACCAGTAGGCACCTCTTGTGCCCAGGAAACCAGCTGGGTGAGGTGACTACCTATGACCTTGGAGAGTGTCTGGAGCAGTCCAGTCTAGGGAGAAAGGCTGCTACGTACAGTTGGGCAGGCCGTTCACTGCACCAGGTCTCCTAGGCAGGGAAGGAGTGGGGGCTGTGTCTCTGTGGACAAGGGGGAAACTTCTTTCTAATTGGCACAAAGGTGCTTCATGGGATGGTGGGGATCCTGAGGGGTGAGGACGAAAATGACCGTGGCTCATTTACTGGGGGAGGGGGAGGGGCCAGAGGTGGGAGCAGAGGATTGAGACCAGATTGTGCCATACGCCCCGGGCCCAGCTCGGCTTTCCCTAAATCCAACTCTGGACAACACAGGCCTCAGCGGGCGCGCTGGGGGCGGCTGGGGATCAGGGTTGCCAGGAGCATGAAGCTCTCCTGGCGCAGTGGGTGTTAAGAGGGATTAGAGGGGCCCAGGGCTGCACATGCTGGCTCTGGACACCCCCACAGCAGCAGGGCTGGGGTGATGGCGGCAGAAGGAAGTGGATGGACCACCATTTTCTGAACTATTGGATGCCCCATCCCAGGCAAGGTTGGGTTAGGATTCGGGCATTGGGGACTGGTTCTGTGGATTCCTGTCCCTAGATACCCTGAGCCCCTGGGCAGGGCACCAGGTGGAGGTGATGCTCAGGAGCTGAAAGAGGACCTGGGTGATGAGAAACTGAGCCAGGATCTCCCCTGCACCCCTCCCAGCCCCTGCATAGAGGAGGAGGCCTCTCAAGTCAGGGCGGGACAGGGACTCACCCACAGGGCCACTGCTCCTGTGTGATGACTGGGATTTGGACTCCCATCTGTCTCGCCCCAAAGACATTTTATTTCTTGTCCCTTCACTGGCCCTCGGGTGTGGGGATGTGTGACTCACACCCCTCTGTTCGTGGCCCCAGCGGTCACCGGTCCACACGGGGCCGACCTCCCCTCCCTGCCACCGACCCGTCCCTTCTCGTCTAACGCGGTCCTTGTTTGTCCCTGTTCTTTTTTTTCTTTCCTTCTTGTCTCTTTTTTTGTGACCGGCAACGGATTGCAACCCTCAGTGTCGCGCCTGTACCGGACCGGGACCGGCAACGGGATTGCAACCCTTGGTGTTGCCCCCACACCTCGCTCAGCCAGTGAGCGGGAACCGGTCTGTATGTGGGATCCGAACCCTCGGCGGGAGTGCTGCTGCGCTTCCCAAGCGGCGCACTGTAGCAGTGCGCCACCGGGCCGGCCCTGTCCCTGTTCTTCTGTAATGTCTGCCTTGTGTAGGAGCATCTTAATTCATGTAAGTGGCTTTGCCTTATTGATCTCCTGGATCCCCCTTGTTTGGTTTTTGTTTCCCACGCAGCCCCATGCTTTTAAAAACCCGTCCCTTTGCTCCGAGTGGTGCCTGCTCCATTACTTCTGTCCACGGCACCCACCTCCTCGCCACCACGGATACTGCTGTAGAGAACATCCCTGTCCCCCACAGCCCCACGAGAGGACTTCCACAGGGTGCTGGCGTCTCCTTATTGGTCACAGGGTAGACCAAGAGTGCTCGGCGTTCTCAGAATGTGGCCGCCAGCCGTCACACCTCTCTGGGCAGGGTCCTTCCACTCACAGTGCACCTCTCTGATCATGGTGGGGATGGGGTGACACTGTGACTGTGGCAAGGTGGTGATGCTGATGGTGAGGGCCCTGGGGATGGTGGTGACAGGGTGGTTTTGACCATGGCGATGGGGCTGGTGCTGGCTATGGCGGCAGTGGTGTCTACAGTGGCCCTGGTGCAGGTAGGGGCAATCGTGACAACTACCCGGCTGTGCTTCTGATGTGCCAGACACAATTCTAACCACTGTCCATGTGTCAGCTCCTACATGCTCATGACATCTCATGCGGTAGTTATGAGTGTCACTCCTACTTTGCAGATGAGGAAATTGAACCTGGTGAGGTTGGTGATGGTCTTGGTGGCTAATGGTGTTCACTATGACCATGGCGAGGATGACAGTGGCAGTAATGATGGTGACAGGTGGCTGTGGTTGGGTGGTTGATGGTGTTTGTGATAACCACAGAGATATTGGTGTTGGTGACTGCTGCTGATGGTGGCGTTCAACTGTGATGATGATAGTGGTGATGGGATGGCCGTGGCCGGGTTGTTGATGGCAGCAGTGGCCACATTTGTGAAAAACACAGGGGCGTCGGTGCTGGTGATTGATGATGGTGGTGGTGTTTGTCAACCATGGTGATGGCAATGGTGACGGCAGCAATAGGGTGGTGATGAGATTACGGTTGTGTGGTTGGTGGTGGCAATGCCCGTGTCTTTGGTGAGCATAGGGAAGTTGATGTTGGTGATGCCAACGACAGTGTTGGCCCAGTCCTGAGGGTAGTGGTGACAGGATGGTGACCGAGCCCCTCCCTTTACAGATGTGAAGTTCCTGAATAACCACAGCCTGGTGAAGGACGCTCAAGAGAAAGCCAACGCTGCCCTGCTTGATTACACCCTGTGCCACTACCCGCATTGCGGGGACAAGTTCCAGCAGCTGCTGCTGTGCCTGGTGGAGGTGCGGGCCCTGAGCATGCAGGCCAAGGAATACCTGTACCACAAGCACCTGGGCAACGAGATGCCCCGCAACAACCTGCTCATTGAGATGCTACAAGCCAAGCAGACTTGAGCCTGGGCCAGCTGGGCCAGGGCTGGGGCCGGGGGAGGGGCTGCAGCCACCCTGCGGCCCTCCAGATGGTTTACTTTATTATGCCAACCCAGGAGCCCTGTCCTGCAGGCCCCTGCCCCTGAGCTCGGAAGCTGTGTGTCTGGGAAGGTGGGTGAGGCTGGGCAGGGCCTGGCTGAGGTGGGGTGGCCCCCACTGGCCACTGGCACTTGCCTGCCACTCAGAGCGCCCCAAGGAGGCGGCTGCTAACCACCCCTCCCTCCCCCTGCTCCCAGCTGTCTGTCCTGGGGTCTGAAGCACAGGTCCGGGGAGGAAGTTCGGGATTCCCTGGTGGGCCTCGGTGTCCCTTGGGCCAGATGTCATCCCTTCCCCCTCTCCTGGAAACAGAGGCAAGGAGAAGTTGAGCGGGCATCGGCTGGGGGAGAAGAGAAGGTCTCCAGAACTCCCCCATGGGGACCCGGAAATCCTCTGTTTAGTAAACTAGTGATAACTGAGCTTGCTATATTGGGCAGGGGCTGTTGGGCCCTAGAGGACACTTGGACACCGGTTGGGACAAAGGACCTCCTCCCTTGCCCTTCTACCCCATCTGACTTCTGCAGGGAGAACTTTGATACATGATCTGAAAAGAATTTTGCTACAATCATCTTTACATCCCTCTCCCACCAGAGGAGGAGTTTGGTACAATCAGCCTTCTAGCCCCACCCGCAGTTGCCCGGGCAGGTATTTATCTGCAAGGTTATAGTCAAGAGGTGTGTTTGTTTTCCCCTTTTGTTTGTTTTTCAATCTCCTAGACTCTCCTTGAAAGGCGTGTATGGTGGAGGGCAGAGGACAGATTTGAGAATTGAGGCTGAGATTTGGGGATTGGCGCCACGTACAGCCCATGGTTTCTCACTGGACACTCTCACACCAAGTGCCCCGTGGGTGGTGCTGGCTCATTATTTCTGAGCCCCAATCCAGAAAAGAGCTGTTGCTTGTCCTCTACCCCCCCAGATGAACAGCAGCCTACCCTGTGGGGCTCAGAGTCGCTGTGCGTGGGAATATGGTGAACTTGGGAGGGCACACAAGGGTCCTTCCTTTATTGGGTCCCTTGCTGCAAACCTTTGATGCTGGGCCTCAGCTCCTGGCCTCTTGCCCTGTGTCCCGTAAACCACTCTCGAGGGTCAGGCACTAGGGGGAGGCCTCAGCTGTCTTCTGTCCCCGGCTGGACATCCACTATGTCCTGCTTTCACATGGCTATTGCCGCTTGTGCTGAGCTGCCTCGCTGGAGGAAACTAGGCACCCCTGCCCCCCTGCCTTCCATTGCCCTGTCTCAGTCCCCACCTCTGCCCCCTGAAACGTGCGCCCCTGCCAAGGCTGGAGACCCACAGCCCCGAAACGAGAAGTGCCCTTAAGAATCTCCCCAGCCCCCACAGCCCTGGAATAAATTTTGCAATTAGTTTCCAGCTACCTTTGCCTACTACATTCTGGGGCCAAAGAACCGCCTGGGTGGGTTTGGGGTGTCTAGGGTGGGACAATGCTCTGACTGGGGCAGAGATGACATGAAGACGGCCTCTGATTCAAAGGATGGGGAGGCAGGGGGGGGGGTCTGGGGGC